TATATCAACGTGTAATGGGTATGTAAATGTAGTTTCATGAAGATCCAGCAAATCTCTTTGGAAGCACATTTTTCTTACATGTGCTGATAGATTTTCTCTTGAAACACGAAGTTTGATCAGGACATAATGACATGTACACTACCGTTCAAAAGTTAACTGTCAGTAATTGTTTGTTTTTGTGTGTGTGTGTGTGTTTTTGAAAGAAGTCTTAAAATATTATTACAATTTAGAATAACTCTTTTCTATTTTAATGTATTTTAAAATTGTATTTATTTGTTCCTGTGATATATCAAAGCTGTATTTTCAGTATCATTACTCCAGTCTTCAGTAGCCATGTTTCCATCCACTTGTCAATCGAATTATCTGAAGTTCGGTAAAAAACCTCATGCGAATAAAGCTGGTGAAAATGTGTTTCCATCAAACGGCTTTAAGCGGATAAAAACCTGTGCGTAATGACGTCACATGCTGTTTTGCGATCAAATTGGTATCGAATTGATTTGAGACATGTTAAGGTGTTTCCATTCATTTTCTCACCTAACTGCACAACATTCAAGCCAACATTTGCGAACAAAGTTTTACTAGGCAAAATGGATCGCACCATAATAACGTTTCCATCCGCGTTTATCGCATAAGCCGTATATCGATCAAGATAAAATCCGATGAGACCGATCGTATTTCATTTGAGTCGATATTCATGAAATTCAATCGAATTTTACTGTTTCCATAAGGCATTTTTCATTCGATATCACTTAATGCGGATAAAAACGTGTGGATGGAAACATAGCTAGTGTCACATGATCCTTCAGAAATCAGTCTAATATGATGATTTGCTGCTCAAGAAACTTCTTATTGTTATTATTATACAGTTGTGCTGCTTAATATTTTTGTGGAGACTGTGATACATTTCTTTCAGGATTCTTTCATGAATAGAAAGAATGGATATAGATAGAACAGCATTTATTTGAAACATAAATCTTTTGTAACATAAATGTCTTTACTGTCATTTTTGATCAATTGAATGTGTTCTAGGTGAACAAAATATGAATTACTTTATTATAAATCCAATAGACTTTAACTTACCTCACAAGCCCAAACCATGATTGCTAATTGCTTTGGCATTAGAGGGAGGGACATTCTCATTCTTTAAAGCATTTGATTGTACCAAACTTTGAGTCATCGATATTTTTGGTAAATTTTTACGGAATAAAAAGACTGAACATTTCAAAGGTACTTGCATTACATTTTAAAGGTTTTATCTGCTAAAGATGCATTTTCTCAACTCTTTGGAGAACACTAACATATATATTAGCCTCAAAGCTAACAGTTGATATTGATATTGTATACACTTGATATTGTTTCTTGTCATAAATCTAATAACATCTAGTGAGTTTATGCTTAAAACTGTTCAACCATCTTACTGAAACGTTTCACATAAATGTATAGCTACTCTTTTTCCTTCTTGGTGTCTTCATTTGTGTCTATCTATCATTCACACAAATACATGAGTCCTCTAATCTCTCTTTATCACCCGTTCTCACACACTCTCAGGCATTGAATTAGTTTGAATTAGTGAGTTCATTGCTATGTAAAGGGGACCAGTGGGGTTTTAACCTACTTAGTACGCCGTTTAATAATGTATGAGTGAGATTCGAGAGCCGTGTGCAGCACAATAAGGTGTCTTCACTCTCTTTCTCGGCTTTGATCTCTCCCTCTTGCTGCCTTCTTTTTATACTTTTTCTCTCGGTTTTTCATTCCCCTTCGAGCGGTACATCCATGATGCTCTGCATGCCTTCAGGGAGATTCATAATCCATATTCCATATGGGAGAATGTTTGAAGTAGATTTACTTGTGCAATATTTCGTATCTGTTGTGTTGTCCTGAGAATAGATGGGTAGAGTCGAGCAGAAAGACGCCAGATATGGTCATACAAATGGACCTGAGAGTTGCGGATAAATAGGCGCTAGGATAGTGATGAAGCACGACCGGCTTGCAGACAGACAGACTGATTACAGATAGACACTCTTTTTTTTTTTTTTGCTCATCACTGGTTCTTCAAACAGTGTTTTTCCTCCTCCTCACAGTTTGCGCTCTCACATTTTCAGGTTATGCCCAGATAGATAGTGTTAATGAGGGTTTCTGACATACGGTCTGTGTGAAGATCCTGCTCCGTGTTCCTGAGGGAACTCTACAGTTAACAAGCTCACTGGGGAAGACCTTGGCAGCATTTTCCCACGCTGTCAAGCTGGGTTCAGTGCTCAAGAACAGGCCCTGAGTGTAAATTCGCAGTCTTTCTTTCTCTAATTTCTCAGTTTATTTACATTCTTTCTGAGGTATGATGTCAAACTGGATGTATTGTGATGTTCCAGATGTCTGTCAGTTAGACCGTAATAATGGAGAACACATTCCTATGGTTATTAAACCAGAGTTCAGCAATCATTGTATCTAATCTGTGTGTGGTCTGTAGTGATTAACACTGTATAATATGGGTTATAGGTTTTTCAATGGCTAGTACTGATAATGATATCTACAGAGCAGGGTGACAATTTGACTAGGCAGACTTTTTGCGTTTTCTCTGAATATTTGGGGGAAATTCTGCTTTAAATATGTAGAACAGAGCTGAGAATACTACACTGTTATTGATACTTCTTACTAAGAACATCAATTAGGCTAGATTGTAATATGATTATAAACATGGGGTTTTACTGATGCTAACTCAGACAAGCTTTACAGACCAACACAGAGGAATGAACTGGAGATTTCCATGTGATTTTCAGTAAAATGTTTTCATGACTTACTAAAAATGATTGGATAAAATTCTTATGTGGCCTGGATTGAATTGTGACCTTAAAGCATTTTTGTGGAGAGAATTCAAATAAAAAAAGAGGTAAACACTTCTCACAGTCAACTGAAAAGTCAAAAGCCTCGTTTGAAAGCAGTTACAGGTTGTAACATTAGTGTAAGGGGCTGTTCACACATTGGTGTGTCTGAAATCGCGTACTGAGTAGTTACTACATTTGAATTTTAACTTACTTCGTGACTGTTAAAAAAGTAAGTTCTATTTAGGATGAATGCGTGTAGTTTGTATGTAATCCAGACATAAAACATTCGCCATGTTATCGTTATCATGTGACCTACCAGCGTCAGTTACGTCGCTTCGCCTCCATTCATAAATCCTCTCGTGGCTTCATGGGATAGTAAAGTGTCCATCAAATGCGCACTTCAGAATCTCGCCTGAAGAAGTAGGTCATCCAGCGACTTTTTGCCTACTGTTTTTTGAATACTATGTATTTGGACATACTACTCTGTTGGCGTACTGTTTTTCGCATGCTATATACTAGAGAAGTATTCGATTTCGGACACTAAAACTGCAAAACTTTTTCTGTTTTGGCCATTCAGTTACATAACAACAGCGTTTTGGGGGCCTGAAAAACTACAAAAATGTGAATTTGTGAAAACGGTGACGTCATGCAAATGTGTATTACGTGTTCAGTCTATAGGCGCTTAGTTTTTCTTTAGAGGGGCTTTGCTAACTTCTGGCTTGGCAGCATAATACAGCGTTTTTAATCGTTGTCAAAGATCCGTGTGAACAGGGATCGTTTTGATAATGGTGTCTTCTGTATGCGAAAAACGCAAAGGAAGAACTTTTCCATTTTTTAGTACATCGTTATCCACAGCCTAAGTCAACATAACTGTTCCTAATGATTCTACAACACGTTCAGTATGGTACTCTTTAGTTACTATTGACACTAAAATGACTTGAATCAGTATTTCTATCATTACAACTCTCGGAATAGTTTAGCATGGTAACGGATATGACAATGTTAATGTATTTGGTCTTGGCGGAATAGATCTGCTACACTTCTGCTGCTGTTTATTATTGCGGCCGCTGCTACAGAGCAAGTACAAAGACTTGCTTCTGTCAGTACATTCACAGACAAGCTGCTGTGAGCATGTAATACTGATACCACACAAATAGTGTACATTAAATTACCCTTAGAATATCTATGCAGGTGGAGCTGGGAAAGATGTCATTTAGCAAGACTTACAGCAAACACAAAACCAAACCATTTAAATGCTAAGCAGGCAACAGAGACCAATCAGTTTGTGATGTGATTGCAGATTGAATTAAGGACCTATCAGTCTGCACCATCTAGAGTTTCATGACTGAATTGGATATGTATTCATTTAGTAACATTAATTTACATTTACTTTTTATTTTGAAAAAAGTGATGGTTTTTTTCAGTAAGGATGCAGTACATTGATTAAAAGTGAAAGTAATAACATTTATAATTTTACAAAATATTTATATTTCAAATAAATGCTGAACTTTATAATTATCAAAAAATCCTGAAAAAAATTTATCACGGTCTAAAATATTAACCAGCACAACTGTTTTAAACGTTGATGTTTCTTGAGCATCACATCAGTTTGAATGATTTCTGAAGGATCATGTGACACTGAAGACTGGAGTAATAATGCGGAAAATTAAAACAATATTTCACAATATTAGTGTTTTATTGTTTTTTTGATCAAATTAATGCAGCCTTGGTGAGCATAAGAGACTTCTTTTCGAGAACATTTTTTTTAACTTGCAGACTTAACTTGTTCTTTCTGATTTTATACATGTCAATTTAGGAATGAAGACTGAGACATAATTTAATAATCCACAGCATGTACTTCTCAGGAATTGTTTGAAGACCTGGAAAAGCATTTATGATATAATGACAGCAAATTGAAATGAAATTGAATTAAAATTGACAATGATAGTTAGTTAAAATATTAATAATATATACAGAAAAAGTACATTATCCATTGACAAATATTCTTTTAACTGGCACAAGGGAGAGCTACATAACATTATCTGTAAATCAGCCATGTACACCTTTTTCGTTTTAGTTGTGTAATCAAATATCAATTTGAAATGCATGCCCGCAAACACATCTGACCACTAAAAATGTCCTCTTCTCTGTTCCTTTCCATTCTTTTTCTGTCTTTCTTAGGTCACCGTGTTGGACTGACTCGCTCTGAGCATTTGAGCATTTTGTGACCTCTGGAGCACCGCGTCTCGATTCCTCTTGCGTCACATCGTCCTAGTCAGTCCTCCTGAATACTGGGGGTTTGGAGTGAGCTCAGGTCCCCGTGAAGATTCAAACCAATCCGCTGCTGCTACAGAACATCCCTGTCAAACAGTGCTGGAATATACTGCCTTACATACTTCTATTCCAAGAAAACATTGGGATTGTATCCAGAGAGTTACATGACACCAAAACAAATAGCTGTACACCTGTGAGCCGTACACTGTGATCGAATGGCGTCATAACCACTCACACGCACCCTGGATCACCAATCATTAACCTGTCTCTGTCTTACAGCCACAGTAGTAAGCACCCACACGGACAATCGCAGACAAAGCTCTCCTAGTTGGATTACCAAAAGTAGATCATGATGGGAAAGTAGACATCCGGCATCACGGATAGCCTGCACAGAGGTCTGGGACTCAGTGTTGTATCTGAGCGTGCCATGTCTGGAAACGGCAACCCTTGCCCCAGCCCTTTAGGGGGCTTCCCTATGCCGCACTACCCTTACTTCTTTCCTCATATGCTAGGAGGGCTCTCCCCTCCATCACTTCCAGGACTTCCTGTCAGTGGATACAGCACTCCATCTCCTGCAAGTAAGTATCCCTCGTTTCCAGTGTGAAACATCTGCGACTTGCTATTAGAAAAATGTATTTAGGTGTGTCACACTTAAACAACAACGCATGATGGTCTGAGAAAGTGTTTTCTATAGTATGCTATTGTGAAATGTACAAGTACATAATAAATACCCGGTACCTGAGGCTAATCAATCAGGACTTACAGTTGCAGCATAGCTAAACATTAAAGGAACAGTTCATCCAAAAAATGAAAATGATGTACTTTAATAGTTTATAGTATGAATGAAAGGAAGCCCAGAACATGTTTGTGCATTCCACTGCACTGCTTTTCCATTGTTTTTATGTCAACCTACGCTAGACGGACATGTTTGACCATTGCGCTCACGTCTTTTGCATCATCTTGTGCATGACACAGCGTTCTAAAGATGTTGTACTCAAGTTATAACAAGTTAGTACTCAAGAAGTAGAACTTTTAAAAAATGTGTGTTAGGAGCTTATTTTCATTCCATCTCACATTCTGTGTAAATGGTCCTTTATAATAAACAAATAACAAGCTACTCTACAAGGGAATTTAATATCTCAAAATATGACTAAATCTCAGTTGTGACTTGTTTATTTTAAACGTTATCTCATAATTGCACAATAATTACTACAAATATCATAATGATCAATTGAATGTGTCCTTGCTGAATAGAAGAATATACAGTATATATATATATATATATATATATATATAAATAAATAAAAATATATATAATTATTATATATATATTTTTTTATCTTACAGGCCCCAAACGTTTTAACGATAGTGTAAGTAACAGATAAGACGTTCATATGACTTGTGTGCTACTGTTTATTCCAAGACTTCTAAAAGCATACGATAGCTTTTTGAGAAATGGTTAGTCATTGAAATCAGATGACTATGCAGCTCTCCAATGAAATATTCTGTATGATTCAATTCAATTCACATTTATTTGTATAGCGCTTTTCACAATACACATCATTTCAAAGCAGCTTTACAGAAAATGCACAAGTCCACATCGCACAGTCGCTATGATTGGTCTTTTACAGATGTGCTCACTACAGTCTATTCTTGCAGAAATGCTGGTTGCTATTTCTGTGTGTACTTTACAAATCACCAACTGACCATATTAAGTCTCAGGAGACCCTGGATTAAATACTGTTGAAGCCCAACTTGAATTTTCCAACAACTACTATGGGACCATTTTTAAATCTTTGAAGAGAGTCTAGCTTTTATTGCTTTGAAATTTGGCTCTTTATATCTTTTGAAAAGCTACTTCAGCATAGCTTGCATATGCATAAATGTATGAAATACACTTTAGATCAATATGTTAGAGTGACTATTTAAAATCTCTCTGAAGTTTTGGTTCATTTTTTATTGTGATCTGACAGATGTTTTTATGCTCAGCTTTATTCTCTGTTCCACTAACATGCATTGAATTTAATTACAGCCGTACATGATCCTAATGTATCATAAGGTCTTAATGTGTCAGATCTCATCGGTTGTTTGGCCTGTTCTGCACTTTGAGGTGCAAAAACCACCGGAATGTTTTTGGGCAAAACCGAGATGCCATGCTGCCCACAGCGCCTGGGGTTATGAGCGTCCTTATGTGAACTACAACTGTGTGTGTTAGCTTGGTCTGTTTGTGCAAGAATATTTGCATGCGAGTTCTTGATTTTTACTGAATGAACCATGAAAAATCTTTAATATAAACAATAGGGCTGTTCAGTATATCCCAAAAATCATCTTAAATATCTTTCATTGTTTTTGACAATATTTTATATATTTCTTTGATATTTATTAATTTGCTCTAATATAGGTTAAAAGGAAGAACCATCATCAAGTATAAGTACTTAAATGTAAACATTGCTGATTTGTGGCTCTTTCAAAACATTTGAGTATCCCAACCAGCCCAAAGTAATACTGGCTCAACCAATTGTGTGAATTTGGGGCGGGACTATCTGCTTAAACTGATGGGACACGCCTAAACTTTTTTGAGAATAGATTTGGGTAATGATGCAAATCACAATTCGTAAAAAATGACCGTTTGAACCGATTCACGGAACATTTTTTTTTTTTTGCTAATACTACTACTAAAGAAAATAGCAATTTTATTTTGAATGACTCAAATCACTGAGTCAACGTTTTTAATTGATTCATTTTGAAAATGACAGCTGCTACTGTCAAAGAAAACTAGCCAAGAAATCTAGACGCACCCTAGCGGCAGCAAATGTTATTTTGCTGCCAGTTACGTCTGGCAACTCTCCGTTGGCTTGCGAGCTGGAAAAACCAAACTCTAGTCAGGCCAATCACATCGTGTATAGAGTCGGTGGGCGGGCTTAACATAATGACGGCAGAGTTGCGATGGTTCCGCGTGAATTCCCTGCTACTTGAAACCAGAAGAAGATGACTGCTGCTACGGGCGAACAGCGGTCTTTCGAATCAGCTTTGGCCACGACTCTTAAGCTTTTCTTTGAGAAAAGAACAAAGAACGGCACTGAAGTCATTCTTAATGTGTCACCTACGTCACCTTCTTCGTTGCTCTGGTTGGTTGTAGCGCTATCCTATTGCGTGCAGAGGGAATTTGAAAGACAACCGTTTATCCCGCCCCTCGGATTGAGCCCTACCAATGGTGTGTTCCCAGACCCAACATCTTGATGTGGGTCTGGCTTGTCAGGCTAAAAGAAAACGGTCATTTTAAGTAATGGCGGCAATCACTGTATGAGAGTTTTTGTTTGATTAATTAAAAATGACAGTTTGAGCTGATTCATGGAAATGATTCAAACTCTTATGCTGTTCTTTCTACTGATGTGTATGCTATTAAAACATTGTTGTAAGACAAGTTTGTATTGCAAAAATAGATCTGTAGGAAAATGTACTTGCCAAATAAAAAGTACATTCAAATCACAATATGTATTATAATATAATATTATATAATATAATATTACTATTACAAGGCCATAATGAGTAAATTATACACAGGATGATTTCTAGTTTCCCTTGTCTTCAATCGTAGCCTTTCAATCATCCCTGCCGAGAGGAAGAGTTGTCGTGTGGTTCAGCTGATCTGTGGAGACGTCCACTTTGCACACTTGAAATGACAGTACATAATGTTTTGACTCGGTGGGTGGGAGCACATCTTGAGTCAGCTACTGATGCAGTGGCTGCCGCCAACCACCGTCGGCAGGGAGGATTTGGCAGTCAGTCAGCGGCTGCTCCCTCCTGGGCCTGGAGCTACTAATGTGCCTCTCTGCATAGTGCTATGTGACGAACAACCCTCTGACGCTTTTGGGGGCTAATTATTACACACCCCATGCTGACTTGCGGAAAGACTCCGCACGCTGTCAGGCGAGAAAAGGCGCGCATCAAAAATTTGGCGCCCCATGTGAGAAAAGGGAGATGGGGGTGTTGTGGGAACGTTATTATTTTGCTTACAGAGGATGATGCAAAAGTTTGCATGGAATTTCCTCTGGTAAGCCTATTAGTCAAGGAGACTGTATCACCGTGAAACCCAAATAAGTGTGTTGGTTTGGCTTTGGGAGCTGTGTTTGCATGAGGTCCAAATGAGAGAACATGGATCGATGGGGTGCAGAGCATTTATTTATCGTCTTCCGCAGGAGTTGGGCTATGGAATATTGATGGATATGGAGGTGCCTGTTATTGTCGAGCTCTCCTAACTTGACTTAAACAGCCGCTTGAAGGAATCCCCAGGGTGCTTCTTGTCACTTGCTGTGCTGTAATGATGTGTCAACTGCCAGGCACAGAATTCAAGCAGCTGGAAGGTACGGTGATTAGATTTGGACTCAATGGAGTTATGCAGAACTAGCAGACTTTTACCTCCGATTTGGGCATCTTAGTTAGCAGGTTATGTGAGTGTTTCAGTGTGGTTACTAGAAAGGAAGTTGGACCCCTGTCCTCCTGATGAAGTTTGAAAGTGATTCTAACTCTGATGCTCATGCATGTACAAGGTTTATAAGTCTCGGCACTTCATTCATGAATTACTCGGCTATCATCATAGAAGCTTTGTATACTAAAAAAAGCAAGTGACCAGATTTCACAAAGTGTCAGTGAAGTATGCCATGAATGACTCAGCTCTTTTTGAACACCTCTGAGGTCTGCGAAGACTCATTCGGATTTCATTAGTGTCGCTAGCAAATGTAGTGTATTTTGCAATTCAGCAAACTGCACTGAAAAGTGTGTTTCCAAAATGCACATGGGGGGGTTGACATGACATTTTCAGGAGTGTCCTGCAGTGTAAGATTGCTATACTTCATTTAAAGTACTATAACAAAAATGTTCTAAATAATTTATGGGTAATAATTAAACATACTTTGTATGACCACATTAAATAAGAGACAGCATGCAATTTATTAATTTATTTATTGGTTGATTGATTTATAAATAACATTATTTATCTATTTATTAATAACAATTGTTATTTATATGTTTATTTTTATAGTTTGTGCTCAGGTTCTCAGTCTCCACCAGTGTTAGCGCAGGCTAATGAAGTGTGTTACCCTGATCAGGCCTGTCAGGCGTTGTGTTCTTTTGGGTCTTCCAGACAATTTTCAACAAATCTGGTCTGCTGTATGTTTTTGTATAGCCCTAATCTTTGATAGCTCCATTTCCTCAGATTCAAACTTCTGTTCTGTCACAAGCTCCCCCAAGCACCACTTGAGTTAAATATAGAACGCAGTTTAATGCCACAAAAGTGGTTAGCATCAGCTACCAACAACCCCTGCCTGCTTCCCTCTAGGGTCCCTGCAGAAAGAAAAGCATAGAAATATTCAAAGCACGGCAACTGTGCTCAGTTCTGTTGGGAAATGAAGATGACTCTCCTTGGTTCGGTTTATTAATTTTTGATATGTTGTTGCTGCTGTGTCTCATTGGCTTTTCGTAAGCAACAGCAGAATGAGTTGGCTAATGCGACAGGAGTGTCTTTTTATACTACTACATTTCCCTCGATGTTTAGGTGACCTTTAGCCTTGACGTGTAG